TATATATATTCCTTGATATATGTTTTTATATATCGCTTCCTAGCTTTCAGCATTCACCAGGTTACATATTTCTGAGTCAGAGGATGCATCCATATAATAATTTTCTACAAGGCAGTGCTCTATCAATTTTGCTATAATATTTTTGCAATAAATATTATTTTAATAATCTCTAAATTGTCTTGTGATAACAAACACAGCTTGATTAAACATTACATGAAAATGTGATTCCGTCTCTCTGTTCTGAAATTGCTATCTGATGGTTTCTTTGGGTGTTTCTTCCCCTTTGAATTGCATCAAACAGAATATAATTGTTCCTATTCATCTTCTCATTACCATTCATGACTTTGCAGACTTCTATCTTATCTTCCACCTGTTGTCTCTTTCCAAGCTGAGAAGTGGACTACTTAATTTATCTTCTTATGGAAGATTTTCTATTCCTCTGATTGCTTTCTTATCCTCTGCTGCATCATACTCTTTTTCAGGCCAAAAATGGAGGCAACAGTTGAGATGTGGGAGCACAGGGGATTTCAGCAGTGATGTAGTAAAGTTTTTTTCTCTGTTATTTGTTCCTTTCCCAGAAATTTCTGCTGCACTGCTAATGTGGAGGATCTTGTCCATTAAAATAACTCAGTTATATGTTCATTCAAAATGAATATAGTACCAAGGGGAAGAAATGGCAGGTGTCTCTATTGCTATCACTGATTACCACTCTATTGCATAATGAGTTTTTCTTTAGGAAGAAATGAACAGTAATGAAATCAATGAAATGAAATCTCAGGGACATTCAATTTATGTTTCCCACTAAGTATATGCATAATATCAGGCTTCTTAATTGCTGCCATTTCATTCTGTAGCCATATCTTTACTTGAGTATTTGCACTCGGTACAGAGGCATTTCACAGGTTGAGTCTTTGGGGCATATCATCATTTGGGGGTGTGAAAGCTCATACTTCTGGGAGGCTGCTAGTGCAAATGCATATGCCTTTCACATACAGTCACGTCCTTTTACTGAAATGAATGCTTTGAAAGAAATATGTCTTTGAAAGCTCTGACTTAAGAGTAAATGGAGACCTTTGCAACACATCAGTCAGGGTGAAAACTGAGTAAATACTTAATGTGAACTTCCTGCTGCGTGCACCCTGCATTTGTGCTAACCTTTGTGAAGAAGGTGTAACAACCCTTCCAAGCCCTGTGTGACAAACTTATGGATTACGAAGTAGGGTCACAAAGGAAGGAAAGACTTACTCTGTAGATAACCCTACAAGACCAACTTCCAGCACTGTTCATGCTGTCTGTTAGAAATGCCTCTCCTAGCAGCTGTGCTATGCGAGCATCTTCACTCAAGTGTGTGGTAAATGATACACAACGCTCTTTCTTCAGGCCCGACAAGCCTCCATACTGCATAAATAAGACATTTGAGCTGCCTCAGACAGTCTTTGTGAGTAATTTCCATGGGCCCTACCAGATCTGGTGGGCCATGCAGTAGCTGTTTGAATTACACACCCATCTCTCAAAACTGAGACACAGGAAGAATTGCACTGGTTTTCAGCAACTATTAGAGGCGCTCTGAAAGCACGCCTTATACAATGAGCATACATATTTGAACTCTCCTGTCTGAAACCAGCTATATTTTTTGACATAAACTTCTCAAGCATCAAAACCAGTTAGGTTTGTCTGCAAGCTGCTGAAAGAAAATTAACTCATTAGTTCCTTTAAGAATGTTAACAATTTTTGTCTCTGCAGGTGACTGTGAGTCACTGATGGCAATGGAAAACATATCAGTGAACAGGAAACTTGGCTGTTACACTGTACACTTACAGTCAGGGGTAATTACTACCATTTTTTTAAGGAAAGATACCTTTCTCCTCTCCTCTGCAGCCTCCAGCTTTTTCTGGATCTCCTCAAGAGAGAGTTCTTTCTTCTTTGGAGAAGCTAAAGTTCGTGGTGCTTCTGAGACCGGAGATGGTGGCTTTAGGATCAGTTCAAAGGCCTGGCCCGAGGCACGTTTGTTGATTTGTTTAACTTCCATGTCTGCAAAATAAAGTGAGAAATGGTAAGCCCTTCAGTACTTCAGCGGTACTGGGGAGAGAAGCAGCAGAGACTGTGTAGGATCAGAAGTACAGAAAAAAGATTTAGCATCTTTGCCTGGGGCTCTTCAAATGCAATGGCAGATTACAGGCTGAAAACTGTTCTCAGAAGTACATTCCACTTTATCTGTAATAGCTTAATTATACCTTAATCTCATAAAGATAAAACTTTACAGCAGTTTTGGAAGCTTACTGGGGTTCTGTGTCATTTCACACCCCCTGTGAGCAGTGCCCAAGCTGATTAATTTTTTAAGTGAGCTTTCATCTTTTCTTGGTTTTCTTGGGAATTATGTCAGCTGTGAAGAGCTGTAATTCTTAAATGGGTAGTAGGAAAAGTACAGTCCAGTGTGAGAAGGATAGCTTTAAGAGTTTAGTTAGTTGCTATTAGAAACAATATCCAGCATCAAAGGTAATACACAATCAATAGAAGGTAACAGCAAAAACCAGCAAACGAATTGTTAAATCAGCAAAACATCCACTGAGTAACATTCTGGACTGGGATGGTGAACTGAGTCATTCCCCAGCAGTAGCACATTACCTGACCTGCAGGATAATTTCTAGTGAAGGTCACTCACCATCATATTTATAGATGTTCATGTTGCGAGGTTCAGGGTAAAAACAGGAGCAGATCAGAGACAGCATGGACAGCTCCTTCATCTTTTCCTTGTAAGCTGAAATGAGAGACCTTGTTAGCATGCTTCACCTCCCCAGCTTCTCCTTAGCAAATCTCTAGCTGAGGTGACTGGCTGGGGACCAGCAAACCTGCTCCATCACTCACCTGGCAATATTTCTCTAGAATAATTACCTTCAGCTATTTCTCCTGAACACTGAACCTTGAACAAATCACACATGAGATGCCCAGTACTGCAGAGACTGCTTCTGATCTCCTACATGACCTCAGCCTTGGGTGTAATGCAGACAGTCCTCTCTGGTTTATAGAACCATTAATCTGGCTACCAGGAAATGTATTTAGTATTGGAAGAGTGCCATGATTCCACTCTCTCCTGGCAGGTGGAGCGACATGAAGCTCTTACAAATTCTCTGATGTATCCAAATGCAATTGAGAACAGCTCTGAAACACTGCCCATGTGTTGCCATAGGCAGAGGCTAAAGACATTATCTGTTACAAATGAAAATGTCATCCAGATAATTAAAAACAAAACCAGAAATGAGGCTACATTTATCAAATCCTTTGCATCATCTCCTTAATATGTGTAGCTATTTGAAACAAAGCTTTTCCTTTTTCTCTTACTGGCCAAAATACATCATTCCATACTAAGGTCTATTGTACATCAGCTGATGCCATAAATACCCTTGTAATTTACCTTTACAGTGTTACCTTTACTGACTTTGTAATGGCTACAGGCCCCAGTCAGACTGAGGAGGAGTCGAAATCCAAAACACAGCCCCATACTAGCTATTATGAAGAAAATGAACTCCATCTCGGCCAATAACAGCACATCTAGAAATGGTGACACCAATACCTAACCATCTAACAATGTTCTGTGTTCACCCTTTCTAACTGCTGTCATCCGTAAGTAGGAAACCAGATTTGTATCTGGTCTTTGGGCAGGTCAGTGACAGAGTCGAGACAAGGGTCAGCTCTCATGAGGCCTGGGGCAACACCTTAGCTACTGATCACACCATATAAAGTATATATGTTGAGGGAAGGTTGCTTAAAATTCATCTTGGCACACACAAATCTCTGCTACTATCAAAATCATATCTACAGAGGCAGACACACATTTGCTATCAACGTGAAAAGATGGCTTAAAATATAACTGCAGCTGAAAGTATTGTAATTAACAGATTAGACCAAATTAATCCTTGATGTTACTAAAGGAAAATCAGGCAGCTCTTTGATCCTCAAATTGTGATAAATATGAAATTGCCATTCAAGCCTTTCTCATGGATGCTCTTGTGCTTTTTGACGTTTTTTTCTTACTCAGAAATGCCCCTGAGGATGATGAGGGCTTGAGAGCCTTTGGTGCTGCTGAATATAGTAGTATTTGAATGATACATCAGTTCAGGAGTGGATTTCTAGCTATCAGTGGATGATTAATTAAGCTAATAAAGCTTTGCATAGCTGGATCTAGTAATGGAAACTAAATAGAATCATAAAAAGGTTTGGGTTGTAAGGGACCTTAAAGACCATCTAGTTCCAACTCCCCTGCCATGGGCAGGGACACCTTCCACTAGACCAGGTTGCTCAAAGCCTCATCCAGCCTGGCCTTGAACACTTCCAGGGATGGGGCATCCACAGCTTCTCTGGGCAACCTGTTCCAGTGCCTCACCACCCTCTCTGTGAAGAATTTCTTCCTGATATATAATCTCAATCTCCCCTCTTTCATTTTAAACCCATTACCCCTTGTCCTGTGACTACAGACCCTTGTAAAAAGTCCCCCCCAGCTTCCTTGTAGCCCCTTCAGGTACTGGAAGGTGCTATATGGTCTCCCCAGAGCCTTCTCTTCTCCAGGCTGAACAAGCGCAACTCTCTCAGCCTGTCCCCATAGGAGAGGTGCTCCAGCCCTCTAAAGGACATATATCTTTTCAGAAACCATTGGTGAAAGGCAGCATCTCAGGTCAAACATGTACTGAAGACTGCTTTCTGTGAGCTGAGGTTGTCAAGGAAGCTTAGACTTGTCAAGTTTTTTGGTTTGAAACATAAGTACCTACTTGCAAGGAATATCTCAAAAATCCTCTGAAGAGACAAATCACATCCAACTGAAGTTGGTTAATGGAGCAAACATTGTATGTTCATTTAGGCCTCTGTCCAATAATACATTTAACCGCATGCATTATTCTAAACACACAGGTGTCATTGTCCAAACTGTCCTTTGAGGAGGGCTTGCCCAGCTGGCTGCCCACACCCTCAAAATTGCATCCTTTTCATCAAGGAGGTTGTGGAGTGAGAGCACATGAGACCCTGCATGCTGTCTGGGAGGTTGCTGAACATGCAGAGAATGGATGCTGGGTTGTGTGTTAAAGATGTGGCCATTCATGGCACAAGCTGAAAGCTAAATATTCTTGTGCAAGGTCTGCTGAATCCCTTCTACAAAGTATACCTTGAAATACCTTTCTATAAAGAGGCATGCAAAGTAGTGTCCTAGGAATCCTGCCTTTTGGGGCCTTTGTTATTATGTTTTATCTTTGCTTGACATTGAGTATCTTGTTTCCTAACTGCATTTAGAACAATTAGAAAAATGTGTTTGTTCTCACAGCTTGTCATCTGCGAAACGTGGCTGGAGAAAGATAAGAACGTGCTCAGCTCTCTTTTCTTTCATCACAATAGCTGCACTAAAAGCATGCTGGCAAAATGACTGTCCTATTTCATTCTGACCACTGACAGAATTAGGATGACTTTCTATGCTTTACAAGCATTACATTTTCCTTTTTCATGGTATTGATTCAGTCTCCATTTGCCCTAGAAAGTCCTTCAACCACAGTTGGAGCTTGGCTTGAATACTCCGCAAGTTCTGGAGACTGCTGCAACCCTGGTAACCAAATAACAGATGGATGATACAGGAGAGGGTGGAAAAGGAGTCCTACTCTGCCTCAGGCATGCATTAGGAGAGTATGCAATGCATCGTATTCCTGATGTGTTGTCAGGTACTGTTGTTTCCATTGGAGGCAAGGACTGAGGGCCTCAAAGGAACTGAAGACCTACATACCTCCTCAGGTGTCCAACATCATCATTTGTGACTTGTCATCCTTGGCCAGGCAAAGAACAGCTTATCTGGCAGCATTGAGTAGTGGGAGCCCTGCTTTGCACAGCTGTCCTTTCCTTAAACTGCCATACATTAAAACCAAAAAAGAAGCTGTATATGTGGACCAGTGACACCTACATAGGCAGGTGCAGTTAGTGGTCTGATTAGAGTGACTGGCCAGTGTCACACAGGTTGAACAGGGAGATATATCTGTGCAGTCCTAAATCCCAAGGAGTTAGTGTTTTAGCTATGGAAGACTGTTCTCTCTAAATGGAATGTTTTTTCCATTAAAAAAACAGCACACCTATGCCAGAAAACCAACAGTACAGCATTTATGCAATCAGCACAGGACCTCTTGTGTTAACTGAAATAGGCACAAAAATTATCTTACAGTTGAGTTTTTAAAAACCCTTGAAGACAAGCAATGATTGCAACAAAGTTTATTTTCTAAATGTGTTTCAACTGGCTTGCTAATTATATAGCTCCTTGTGCAGTCATGTAGGGTACATATCATTCCATTAACTGTGCAAGTTAAATGAAGGAAAGTAAATGATAGTAATTGTAATACTGCAAAAGCTTTGATAGGGAAATTGCTAGGAAGGAACAACGTTGACAAAAGATGACAACAGAATCTTCTCAGTTATATGCAGCAAAATTTTAATGTTTAGATGCATTAAATGCTTCAAAGTTGGGCAAGAGCAGAACAGCGATTTTTTGCTAAAACCAGAAGGGATTTCAGCTTTAGGAAATCTTGGAGTTTTGCTGTGAATATCCTAGTATTCACAAGTCTTCTTAATTTATGAAGCTGTGTGATTATTTCAGAACCTCATCTATTTTTTTAAAAAATAAATCCATCACATTCAGAGATGAAAAGAAAGCCTTGGAAATATTATCTAATGCCCTTAAAAGCTTTGACAGCTTCACAGAAGAAACTCAGGTAAATTTGAAACTCAAGATTGCATGATTTTTTTTCTGAATGAGTACCAAGTGCACCTTAGCATCACTGTTTTAAGCTAATATCACCATTTTCTCAAACTTCTGTCATTATTCTGTTACCAGTCCTGCAGCTCACTTGCCCACTGAGCGAAGCTAGTAAGGAAGAGTGCTATGGTTGCTATTAGAACTCAGCAACCACTTATTTGTTGCTGGGAGAAATAGGAAGATTAGGGAAAACATTGGTAAAATCATCCTGTCTGTTCTCATCTGTTATCCAATAGCTATAAGGAATTTTTTACAGTTTACACTGTAAAATTAAAATCTCTCCTGACTGACAGGCCATGGGCAATTTGGGTCACATTTTGTTCCTTGGCAAAGCACAGCTAGGACAGATTGCTGTGTCACAGCAGAGACCATTAGTCATAAGCAAGACTATTTTTAACACATGAAAGCAGAGAGATAAGCGTAAATGTTACTTATAATTAAAATCTGATGAAGGCAAATCTGTTGATTCCTTTTGCCTTACTGAATCCAGTCTGCATTTAACAAAGTGTTACTGATTTTTGACACTTCAAGACCCAGTAGCCAACTAGTTCTTCTGGTTTTGCACACAGGGAAGGAAACACAAACTGGCATGTTCCCCATGGCCAAAATGTGCAACACATAAGACGGCTCAGCCCCATGTTTGTTTGACAGGTATCTGTGAGACAGTCAGCTTTCTGAGACAGCTGAAATCCTGCTTGTTTTCTGTTTTGGGAGGGACTGAAGGTCTAAGATGTAAGATTAAGTGAATCATGAAATGCAAGGTACAGAAGACCCACCACAGCCATCCTTTAGAACCGTTTCAAGGGGATGTTAATGACAAAGCAGTTGGTTACAAACTTCACTTTGTTAATGCTCCCTGTGAAGTGCTAGCATTTTTGCTTTGTGAAGACAATGCTTTAAAGTCACGCAAAGCCGTGTCATTTTGTGAACACCAACAGGCACACTCTGTTAGCCAGTGGCTTCTTTGTA